TCAATGTTTCACAAATCCAAATTTTGTAATAAACCCCAAAATTTTCGCATTAAGGAAGGAAAAAAGATTTGAATGACGATTGTAATAAATTTCTTTCAGAAAAAAGGCCTAAGTGGTTTTACTTTACATTTAAAGCTGCGCTAAAAATTAAAAAACGTAAAAACTTAATAAGGTTTTCTGTTTTAATACCCCATAAATACCGTATTTATATTTAAAGTAAGCTAGAAATAAGAAAACAAAAAGAAAAGATAAATGAGCTTGATAACACTTTCTATCTGATTTTTATAACAAATACTAGAAATTAAGTAACTCTTGCAATTTTTCAAAGGATTTCATTCGATTCAAGAATACCTTCCTGAATGCTTATTTCATTGTGATGAAAGCAAGAAAAGCCTTTGAGCGGAAACAATGAGAAGTTGTTGTGGAAAAGAGGAAGAAGCTGTGTCTGTTATTGTCTGTTGTTCACAATAATATCGCCACTTTTTGATGACGAAAAAGAAATTAAGTGACCAAATATCCTAATCACGATTTGGGAAGATCTTCCATAACTTTATCTCCTCGAAACGGTCTTAACCAAGAAAAAATTTAACCTTGAAACAGATATATCAAAGTTTATGTTACTAAATTTTTTTTGTTCTATTTAGGCACTGATTAATATTTTTTTCCTGCAGAAGATCGTTGAAATGGGATTTCTGCAATTGCGAAAAAAATGGTAATTATCCTTATGACCCATGGTCCAAGAGCATTGAAGGTTAGCTGCTTATGATGCCTCAGGTAGCTTTAGTCCTTGACCGCCCCAGTCGCGTCTGCTACTTCCTCCTAGTTGCTTCCATATGCAAAATTCGGGAAATAATTCGAAAATTGAACACTTGAATGAAGTTGATATCACTTGATTATCACTTTCACTTTTTTCGCGCGAAGAAGAATGACCTACTGTATTATGATCACTTCGTCAAGTGCACAAAGCTGATTATTACTCCAATTTGAGTTTTTCGATCGCTTTTTCAGTGTGAATACTATTTCTCCCTATAGCAGAAACGTAAGTGAATGCACATTTTTTTTTTCGTTTTAATTCAGGGGTCTGTCCAAGTCAAATTTACTACCGTTTAGCGGTACCTTCACAAATTTAACTTTAGGAAAAATACTTTTTCTTAAAATTTTATTTTTGTGTCTCGCAAAAACGATAAATCCATATTTTTACCATATTTTTGTGTTGATTTTTTAATATAACTTTTAATTTTCACAAATTATGCCTAAATTTTCACGAAATAGGTACCTTTCAGAAAAAACTAGACAGACCCCTGTGATTTGATTTATATTCCAGATTCCAAAACATAAATTTAAAATTGTTCTAATTGATTAGTTGTTTTTATTTCATAAAGTTCAACGAATACTATCTTTGTTTAAAAGAATAATTCTTGAAATAAAATAGCTTGCAAAATTCGCAGGGTATTTTTGTTACATATTTAACTCCATTTAAATGCTGATTACTACTTTAATCACTCTTTTGCTATGGCTAGAGTTTGCTGTTTATTATTATTGCAGAATATAGTAAATGAATAGGTATTAATATTATTTAGAAATTTATTAACTGATTGAATAATAATCATTTTATTGCTTAGGTTTCACTGATTCATATTAAATTTCATAGAATTAATGATAAATTTTTTTATTAAAATTAAGTATTTGAAAATGACAGTCTTTTATTTCAACTGAAATGCTGGTTATAACTTCAATTTGAGAGTTTCAATTACTTTTTGGGCTTAAATAGTGATTTCTATTCCCATTGTGATAACGTAGGTGGATAAATAGTGCTATGAATTTACTAATAGGTTTCGCTAATAATTGTTTGTGTATTAAGTTTCCTCTGAAGCATAGGAGTTTCAGGAAATAAATGATAAAATTATAATATAATAATATAATTAATAATAAATTGTTCCCAAATTCAAATTTTTAAAAAATTACGGATAATAACTTTAATTTGAGAATTTACATCGCTTCGAACACTTTTCTTTTTTATATCGTTTAGAAAATTTAAGTGAATGCATATTATCATAATTGTATCAATTTAATTTCCTAATTGATTGAATAATAACTACTTTTATTGTTCACTTTTCGCTAGTTCATACGGAGTTCTATCGAATTTATGATAAAAAGAATAGTTCTTATGATGAAATGGTTAAAATAATTACAGATTATTGCTTTAATTTGAAAATTTCAATGTTCTTTTATCCTTTGTGTTTACATCCAATGTCCTTTCATGTTGATATTCTTTTAATTATAAACGAATGCATATTATTATAATTTTAAGAACTTAATTACTTATTAATTGGGTGAAATAAAATTATATGTATTGTTTAGTTTTTGCTTTTTTATTTTATTATTTATGCAATTAATTATAAAATTTCCACAAATTTGATGTTGATGTATTCATAAAAGCAATAATTCTTGATATTGATCATATGAATGCATACGATTACTATTGAATTTTAAATATTGAATTTAATATTTTAATTGATTTCATTGCCTATGCCTAAAATATAATTTTGATAAAACTTTTATTGGTTAGTTTTCTATATGCTTGGTATGTAATTGAACAGAATATAAGTTAAAAACTCATGTAGTTAGGAAAAGAAATAGATCATGAAGTTGAATATCTTAAAAACAATTTATCATTACTTTAAATGAATGCTGATTATTATTATAATATGATATTTTTAATTACTCCTTTATAAAGTATTGATTTTTTTATGTAATTTGAGAAACACAATAGAAAGCATAATACTATTGTGAATTAACTTAAATTTATTTAATTTCTTTTGACTGTTTGTGATAAAAATATTAGAATTGCTTAGTCTTAGATGATTAACGTCAATTTTCATAGAAGTTATAATCAATTTTTAAATGCGTTAGTTTACATTTTTTTTTACAGTTTTTACATTAAAAACGTCGCAAAATATTTTCAAGACACACCCGAAAAAATTCTCGTAATATTACAGTACTATTCAGTATGGGCTATACTGTATATTTCTGGGCAAAAAACAGCAACATAATTTTGGCTAATAAAACCAAAATATACGGTATTTAAACCATTCATCTGGTAATTTTTCCATTCACATGCTAAAGGCTTACCAAAAATTCTGGTTTTCACAATTACAGTTCTTATTATCACACATTTAGTACAAAAATACAAACCTGAAAAGTAATTTTAATTGAATTGAATTCATGCCATGTTGTAGGGTATCATGATAAATTTACAGAATTTTACCTCATTTATTAAATTTTATCACAGATTCTAAATACATATTTTATTGTTAATTTTACCAAAATCATTGTCAAAACGCTTCGGTTTAAAAATAGCCGAGATTTTTGATGTTCTCATAGATTCAGAAACATGGTAAAGTTTACCATATTCTTATAGTTTTGATTTCTTAGTGCAAGAAAGAAAATTTCTTTAGATTCAAATGTATTTGGTAGATGAGTTTGGTTGATATTTGGTAGTTATTTAGACGAGGTTTTTTAAGAGGTCTTCTCTGTTTGGACTTATTGAAATTTTTTGGACTTATAGGCTTTATCTAATTTAAATAGATTATTTCGGGGGTTAGAAACAACAATCTTTTGTCATGATTATAATTTATAAATTGATGATTATTCAGTGGTACATTTATTGTAATTTTGCTTCCTTTTTAAGCGCAAAAGTTTCATATTAAGAAGTAACTTTAGGATCAAATTCATAGCAAATGGCAAGCTAGAAATATTTTCGCTAATAAACGAAATGCGTTTGTTTTGTTCTTAATTTTAAAAAATCATTTTGTACTTTTTTAAAAAAAATAATTGAATGTTTTTCGAAAAATAATTTAGAAAATAAAATATAATTCAATTCATTCACATTAAAAAGTAAGTGATGGAAATAAAAATTACGCTTTTGAATTTCAAATATGTTGCTCAGTTTTCTAAATGTTCTGAAGCTATATGCTTAGCTCTTAAGATAGTACGCTTTTTCAATATTTTCATTAAAAATTAACAATTGAGATCACACATCGAAAAAATATATGCCCAAAACTACCAGAATATGGTAAAATTCACAGCGTTTCTAATTAATGATTTTGGCAAAATTACCAATAAAATATGGATTTAGAAAATGTATTAAAAATTCGCAAAGTATGATAATTTTAGCATAATACCTTAGAACATGGCATAAAAACTATTCATTAGGTCAATCTACTCTTCAGTTTTGTATAGTTAACTAAATTTATGGTAATAGGAGGCATAATTTTGAAACTAAGAATTTTCAATAAACCGTTACCACATGAATAGTAAGATTACTAAATGAATGGTTTAAATACCTTGTATTTCGGTTTTATTAACCAGAATTATGTCCCCCCCCCCTTAGAAATGTAATTATTATCAAGCGCGCCGACAGAATAATATAAAAGGGGGTGCAACCCTCTAACAAACTACCCCCCCCCCAAAAAAAAANAATTAAGTAACTCTTGCAATTTTTCAAAGGATTTCATTCGATTCAAGAATACCTTCCTGAATGCTTATTTCATTGTGATGAAAGCAAGAAAAGCCTTTGAGCGGAAACAATGAGAAGTTGTTGTGGAAAAGAGGAAGAAGCTGTGTCTGTTATTGTCTGTTGTTCACAATAATATCGCCACTTTTTGATGACGAAAAAGAAATTAAGTGACCAAATATCCTAATCACGATTTGGGAAGATCTTCCATAACTTTATCTCCTCGAAACGGTCTTAACCAAGAAAAAATTTAACCTTGAAACAGATATATCAAAGTTTATGTTACTAAATTTTTTTTGTTCTATTTAGGCACTGATTAATATTTTTTCCTGCAGAAGATCGTTGAAATGGGATTTCTGCAATTGCGAAAAAAATGGTAATTATCCTTATGACCCATGGTCCAAGAGCATTGAAGGTTAGCTGCTTATGATGCCTCAGGTAGCTTTAGTCCTTGACCGCCCCAGTCGCGTCTGCTACTTCCTCCTAGTTGCTTCCATATGCAAAATTCGGGAAATAATTCGAAAATTGAACACTTGAATGAAGTTGATATCACTTGATTATCACTTTCACTTTTTTCGCGCGAAGAAGAATGACCTACTGTATTATGATCACTTCGTCAAGTGCACAAAGCTGATTATTACTCCAATTTGAGTTTTTCGATCGCTTTTTCAGTGTGAATACTATTTCTCCCTATAGCAGAAACGTAAGTGAATGCACATTTTTTTTTTTCGTTTTAACAGGGATCTGTCCAAGTCAAATTTACTACCGTTTAGCGGTACCTTCACAAATTCAACTTCAGGAAAAATACTTTTTCTTAAAATTTTATTTTTGTGTCTCGTAAAAACGATAAATCCATATTTTTACCATATTTTTGTGTTGATTTTTTAATATAACTTTTAATTTTCACAAATTATGTCTAAATTTTCACAAAATAGGTACCTCTCAGAAAAAACTAGACAGATCCCTGTAATTTGATTTATATTCCAGATTCCAAAACATAAATTTAAAATTGTTCTAATTGATTAGTTGCTCTTATTTCATAAAGTTCAATGAATACTATCTTTGTTTAAAAGAATAATTCTTAAATTAAAATAGCTTACAAAATTCGCAGGGTATTTTTTGTTAAATATTTAATTACATTTAAGTGCTGATTATTACTTCAATCACTCTTTTGCTATGGCTAGAGTTTTTGCTATTTATTATTATTGCAGAATATAGTAAGTGAATAGGAATTAATATTATTTAGGAATTTATTAAATTATTGAATAAAAATCATTTTTATTGCTTAGGTTTCACTGATTCATATTAAATTTCATAGAATTAATGAGGATTTTTTATTAAAATTAAATATTTGAAAATGACAGTTTTTTACTTCAACTGAAATGCTGGTTATAACTTCAATTTGAGAGTTTCAATTATTTTTTTGGTTTGAATAGTAATTTCTATTTCCATGGTGATAACGTAGGTGAACGAATAGTGCTATGAATTTACTAATAGGTTTTATTAATAATTGTTTGTGTACAGTATTCTCTAAGGCATAGGAGCTTCAGAAAATAAATGATAAAATTATAATATAATAATATAATTAATAATAAATTGAATAAATTGTTCCCAAATTCAAATTTTTAACAAATCACAGATAATAACTTCAATTTGAGAATTTACATTGCTTTTTTGTCTTGAACATTTTTCTTTTTAATATCGTTTAAGAAATTTAAGTGAATGCATATTATCATAATTTTATCAATTTAATTTCCTAATTGATTGAATAATAATCTGTTCAGTTTTCGCTGTTTCGTACGGAGTTCAATCGAATTAATGATAAAAAAAAATAGTTCTTATGATGAAATGTTTAAAATAATTACAGATTATTGCTTCAATTTGAAAATTTCAATGTTCTTGCATCCTTTGTATTCACAATGTCCTTTCATGTTGATATTCTTTTAATTATAAACGAAAAAGTGCAAATGAATGCGTATTATTATAATTTTAAGAACTTAATTATTTATTAATTGGGTGAAATAAAATTATATGTATTGGTTAGTTTTCGCTTTTTTATTTTATTATTTATGCAATTAATTATGAAATTTCCACAAATTTGATGTTGATGTATTCATAAAAGCAAAATTCTTGATATTGATCATATGAATGCATACGATTACTATTGAATTTTAAATATTGAATTTAATATTTTATAATTGATTTCATTGCCCATGCCTAAAATATACTTTTAATAAAACTTTTATTGGTTAGTTTTCCATATGCTTGATATGTAATTGAACAGAACATAAGTTAAAAACTCATGTATTTAGGAAAAGAAATAGCTCATGAAGTTGAATATCTTAAAAACAATTGATCATTACTTTAAATGAATGCTGATTATTACTATAATATGATATTTTTAATTACTCCTTTATAAAATATTGATTTTTTTATGTAATTTGAGAAACACAGTCGAAGCATATTACTCTAGTGAATTAATTTAAATTTATTTTATTTCTTATGACTTTTTGTGATTTAAAAAAACATTAGAATTGTTTAGTCTTAGATGATTAACGTCAATTTTCATAGAAGTTATAATCAATTTTTAAATGTGTCAGTTTACATTTTTTTACAGTTTTTACATTAAAAACGTCACAAAATATTTACAAGATACACTCGAAGTATTATAGTACTATTCAGTAAGGACTATACTGTATATTTTTGGGCAAAAAACCATAAATATGACTAATAAAACCAAAATGTGCTGTATTTAATCTATTCATCTGGTAATTTTTCCACTCACATGCTAATGTCTTACCAAAAATTTATTCTGGTTTTTAAAATTATAGTTTTTATTATCACATATTTAGTAAAAAAAATACAAACCTGAAAAGTAATTTTAATTAAATAAATGATTTTCATGCCATGTTGTAAGGTATCATGATAAATTTACAGAATTTTACATCATTTATTAAATTTTATCACATATTCTAAAAACATATTTTATTGTTAAATTTACCAAAATCACTGCCAAAACGCTTCGGTTTAAAAATAGCCGAGATTTTTGGAGTTCTCATAGAGCCAGAAACATGATATATTTTACCATATTCTGGTAGTTTTGATTTCTTAGAGCAGGAAAGCAAATTTCTTTAGATTCAAATGCATTTGGTAGATTTTATAGGACGTTTTGGAGTATGGAATTTTGTAATTGTTATTTAGACGAGGTTTTCAAAGAGGTCCTCTCTGTTTGGACTTATTGAAGTTTTTTGGACTTATAGGCTTTATCTAATTGAAATAGATTATTTCGGGGGTTAGAAACAACAATCTTTCGGCATGATTATAATTTATAAGTTGATGATTATTCAGTGGTACATTTATTGTAATTTTGCTTCCTTTTAAAGCACAAAAGTTTTATATTAAGAAGTAATTTTAGGATCAAATTCATAGCAAATGGTGAGCGAGGAACATTTTCGCAGGTAAACGTTACGTTTACTTATATGTTGGTTGAAATACGTTTGTTTTGTTTTTAATTAAAAAAAATCATTTTGTAACTTTTTTTAAAAAAAATAATTGACAGTTTCTCGTAAAATAATTCAGATAATAAGATATAATTCAATTCGTTCACTTAAAAAGTAAGTGCCTGAAATAAAAATTCCGCTTTTGAATTTCAAATATGTTGATTAGTTTTTAAAAATTTTAATTTCTTTCTAAATGCTTTGAAGCGATATGCTTAGCTCTTACGACAATACGTTTTTTTAATTATTTTCTTGAAAAATTAACAATTGAGATCACACAGCGAAAAAATGTATGCTCAAAACTACCAGAATATTGTAAAATTTACAACGTTTCTAATTACATTGCTCTAAAATTTATATTTCTCTAAAGGAAAAAAAGCTCTGAAAGCCTTACCAATGTGCTTTTTGTAATGATTTTGGCCAAATTAATAATAAATATGGGTTTATAAAATTTATTAAAATTCAGCAAAGTATGGTAATTTTATCATAATACCTTAGAGCATGGCATGAAAACCATTTGCTATCTACTTTTCAGTTTTATATTGTTTACTAAATGTATGGTAATAGGAGATATAATTTTGAAATTAAGAATTTTGAGGAAACTGTTACCACATGAATGGTAAAATTACCAAAAAAAAAAAATGGTTTAAAGACCGTGTATTTCGGTTTTATTAACCGGAATTATGTTTTTCCCCCTTAGAAGTGTAATTAATATATATTTAAGGTAATTTTACTAAAATTTCTTTTTCTGTGCAATAAGAAGCACTTTAGAACCAAATAAATGAATAAGATGTTGTTGATTTAGTTTATAAACTGACATTTTAAAATTTATGAATGCAAAATTTAATTTCATTCTACGCAACTGCTTCTATGTAACTTTTGAAAAGTATAGAATGGTGAAGAATAAATTAAATCTTAAGTAACAGCTTAAATGAAATTTAAAAAGTCTTATTTTTTGTTAAAGTTTTTTAAGAGATGGAAATGAAAAAATTTCGAAGTGTATTTTACTCTGCATTACTTGTCAACAGATAATTTTCTTTTAAGAATTTATATTAAATATGTACAGTCTCCTAAAGATTCAAGAGAAACAATATTATATTTTCCGCATGCATAAAATTACTGTACAAATGATAGAAATTCAAAGCTTCATGTTTTAATTTTTGCAGTGCTCCAAGTAGAAAAAAAAGTGAAACTCATAGTAACTGATCATCTAATGATCATATTTTTACTCATTGGGGCTCAATCTCAATTATTAAATGGTCTAACCTTAAATATGTTAATGAATTACATTTAATTAGCTTTAAAATATAAAGTCAGATTTAAAAACTTACTTTCTCAATAAAGCATATTTTTTTCGATGGATTTAGATTCTTAATCCCAAAATATGGGGTTGGTAATCACTATCTTTAAAATATAGTTCCAAAATGTTCAGGCAGGTGCTATTTCAATTTTTTTCCGTATTTCAACCATTCAAAGAAATTGTATTTTTTTAAAAATTTTTTTACTCAAGAAGTAATCGGCCGATTTCATTCAAATTTTGATTTTGTCATTTTTAATCGTGTAGACTAAATTGGTGCAAAAATTTGTATACCTTCCAATTCAATTTTTTCAACCATTCAACAACATTTATTTTTTCAACAACAAATCTAACAATAAGAAATAATCATTAAGCATACAAAATAATTTTTTGCGCCGGATTAATTCCGGATAAATAAGTTTCATAACTGTGTGCAAAATTTTTTGCTATGCTACATTAGTTCCAGAGGGATGGAAAAAGACACAAGGAGTGAAATGTTACATTAAATACTAGTTCAAATTTTCCACTGCTCTTCTGTCCAGACTATTGGGACCATTATTTTTTAAAAAATGATTGTGGCTACTAGGGATCAAAAACTCGAGTCCATCGAAAAAAAGCATGTTTATTTAGGGAAAGGTTTTTGTGTCGATTCTTGTAACTTAAAATATCGTTTACACACATTAATTACCATATTTAAGGTTAGGCTTCTAAACATTAATGTTGAGTCCTAGCATGTGAAAATTCAATCATGAGATCAAAACTTGCTTTGTATATTTCACACATTTTTATGAGCTGAAAATAAATATTATATGATTAATGTCAAAACATTTAACATAAGTTTTTAAAGACTTATGCAAATAGATCATATTCAATTAAAAATAAATTGTCATTAAAAATACAATTTAATGG